ACACTTCTATGGTATTCTACGTTACATACGAGGTAGCCATGGTATATAGAAAAGTACTAAAAATTATTGTAATTCACAAAAATTGGCAGTTCTCATTAAGTGGTAGTAGAAAATCGAAGAACTATGTTTACAACATTATCATATGCTTCAAGCCTCTAGAGGCGGCTAGTACATACACACATCAAGATAAGTTGCAGGGTGGATCAGTATATGAATGGAGAGGTTGAAGTATAGGTTGTAAGCTAAATATGGGTGGATGGAGGTAAAAGTGCGAATGCAGGTGGAAAGTGGCTGTATAAATGGGACTTGAAGGGTGGTGAAACTGGGCTGAACAGATTAGTAGTTCGTTAGATTGCTACACTCAGTTAATGAGTTTATAGTTCGTTTAAGTACAGAAAAATATGAAGAGGGCTGTGGAAGAAAGGGTGAATGCATAAAAGTTGGTGAATAAAATAACATCACGTTTTTTAGACAGCTGGGTATATATCAATGGTTGAGTACGCAATAAAAAATAATTGCATATGTAAATAAACAAGTCACGTGAAAATTACAGCCGATATAAAGCAATGGAACAGAATGTATCAGAACTACAGTTTGACATTGTTTGTTGTTAAACCGTTGTATATTTCAAGCAACTAGAGAATGAAATAGGTGTTCATACTGTTCCATATGAGCACCTATGGATTTTTGTGCTATCAGACCACAGCCCTCCTAAATTTGATGGGTTACGGAAATCATGCAGGGAGAAGGAGTGTGCTTTGAACACAACAACCTTACGATGGAACCTTTCGCAATGGAAAATTTGCTGTAGGGCTATTGCCAAGACGCACATTCGTAAGTTGAAGTATGATTTTGTTTGTTTGTGATTAAGCACAAAACTACACAATGGGCTATCTGAGCTCTGCCCACCACTGGTATCGAAACCCGGATTCTAGCGTTGTAACTCCACAGACATACCGCTGTGCCACTGTAGGGCTTGAAGTATAACCGAGAGGCGATATGGACTGTAATGAGGAGGCGAGGTTCCAAAACAGTCTTAGTATAATGTCCTCAACCTCAGTATAAATATATCTTAAAATTAGATCATTATAACTCAAAATAGTACTTAAAGGTTTTTGGGTTACTATTGAATTCTCCATCTGGTAATAACAAATAAACATCTACTGGGGTATAAAATAATCAAATTGGATGACGTTTAAAGATATTCTTAATAAAAGGTCAACTACCAAACTTGTTTCATTAAGCTGTAATTTATTGATCAATAAAGTTTCCTTTGTATGTAAATATTTCTAGTCATTCCCCTTTTGTAAGAATAACGCACGAAGTATTACCACGTCACATTCACGGAGAGCATGCTGTTACGTATACTTATTTTCCACTAACAAAATTGGATGCTATTTCATGCACTCTTGAAGCCACTTAGTAGTACGTCGAGTAAACACAGATTTACGTATAGGGCATTTAAATTCATAAAGTACATTAGAAGATATAGTTTTAATCATGAAAATATTTGTAGTCCACATTCAGTTTAAGAGTTTTAAATGAATTTAAGGGTAAGCATGTTTGTTAGTAAATAGCAATATTGTTGACATTAGTAGCTTTGGAATATTACATTTTAACAAAATATTCTAGTTTTATTATATCAACAACATTATTAGGGAAGTCATTTTAATCTCATTAATGTTATCAATACCTTTGTATTAATATGCATATTATTTTTTAAGCTCAATGAATTAAAATATTAACTTTTATTAAATAAATATGAAATATCCCAATCAAAATTTAAATTTAAATCAATGAGTCTTTCTATGATGATCTTCACAATCAATTTCGTCATTGTTATTTTTCATTAGCGTATCTAAAAAGCAAGTTGATGATAAGCTGTAAATTGCATATTATAATTGACTATTGAGATCCTTCAAATTATTGATTAACACCTTTAGAACCTTTAAAAATGGCAAAGGTATCATCAACATATCTGCATTAGTACACACAGAGGGTTGAGTACATTATATTAAAACGATTATGGAACCTTACCACATCATTATAATCCATTTTGCTTTATCTGATGACTATGCATCTTTACAATAGCCCTGAAGCATAGTCCTCATTGCAAATGGCTTTGCATGAAATAGCATGAAAACCCATTTCATTCACCAGTGGATAAAGGTATTCAACAGCTGAAAGAATATGGCATGGAGACAGCTTGTGGAAACTTGATTTGTGTCACTTTTGCAGCTGGAGACCCTTCCATATTATGTTGCATACTGTTTCTTGGCTTTTATTATCAACCTTTGTTTTTGTGGATTATAAAACATTGCAAGTTTCTTACTATGGTTGAGGTATTACTTGTTGCAGTTTTTTTTCTGAATGGTTCTGGTGCCCCAATTGATCCATATTCCTTATCTTTCCAGTGCCATTACGTATAAGGGATATCCCCATCTTGGAAATTCTAAACCTCTAATCTGAATATATTTTTATGATCTGAGCATAAGAATATTTTGAATTGGAAAGGGCTGTTACATACCCTTCCAAAAAGTAATAAATTTTTGGTGGCATTACACTACCTATGAAACATCAACCAATTTCAAAATGTAGTTCTGACACATGCATTTCCAGTATGAGTTTATAATGGTTATTATTATCATGTGACTTTCCAATTTGCATATTCAAAATCATTTTAATATAATGTATTAGACCCTCTGTCTTCTACAAATGCTTCAAGTACAGAATTGATAGTCACGAATATACACATTTTGAAAAAATTAAAACTGTACTTTAAAATAACAAAGTATTTCACATGAATAAATATTGTTCCAAAGTGTTGTGCAAAATTGTATAAGAAATATCTGCACATATCCATCCCTAGTTTTGAACTGATAGATAACAGTGATTATGAAAGCTGATGAAAGAATGGTTTTAAAAACATTAAACTACCACAGAGAGGATAGTTTGATCTATATTTGACAAGTTACAGAACACAAAAAAAGATTTACAACTGGCAAATTTAATTCACAATAAATCATCTTCACTCTGGTTGTCAAAATCCAAGCTAGTTGACTTTTATCAGTTAGTTATACTACTTATAACTATCTTAAGATTGAAAAGTTGTGATTTATAGAAACTAACCAACAGAAGCTAAACCCTCGCTCTTTCTACATGGTGTTTGAGTATGATTTTTTATTATTTGAAAAAAGTTTATCTTTTAGCTTTCTACATTAGTAGCATGTATAAGAGTACAGACAACTGGTAGTTATTCTCATTTACAAAGAATATACACACTAGTAGGCATTCTCATCGTGGATACATGTAGTTGGTAATTATTCTTATTGAGGATACATGTACTAACTGCGGGTTATTCTCATTGAGGATACATGTACCAACCAGTAACTCTCATTGAAAATGCATATGCCAACTGGTAGTTATTCTCAACAAGGATACATGTAGTTGGTAGGTATTCTTGTTGAAGATACATGTACTAGCTAGTAATTCATATTGAGGATACATGTACCAACTGATAGCCATTCTCACTGAAGATGCACATACCAACAGGTAGTTATTCTCATTGAGAATAAAAGCACCAACTGGTAGTTATTCTCACTGAAGATGCACATACCAACAGGTAGTTATTCTCATTGAGAATAAAAGCACCAACTGGTAGTTATTCTTGTTGAAGATAGATGTACTAATTCATAGTCATTCTCATTGAGGATACATGCATCAACTGGTAGTTACTCTAAAAAAAAATGCTTTTGTCACTAATTGAAAAAAAAAAGAAGAAAAAACATTCTACTTGCAGAAAACAAAATCACCCACACAAGCCTGAGAACCAATCATGACTATTTTTTGCAAAAATTATGAGGGCTAAGGTACATTTTTTTTACATATACATTTAAACAAACTACAATATAATGGACTCAATTTATTTTATAAAATTATTTTTCTTAATTATTCTTTAGTGGGAAAAGGAGTTACAAATTCATTAAATCTGATGATGGTGATGATTTCTGAGGAACAAAAGGTAAACAACTCATGCTAAATTTTCAATCAAAGGTACATTTTGAAAGTAGTTCTTGTAAACAGTAATCTTGGATGGTCTGTCATTGTTTAAAACATGTATATTCCAAAGAATCCACCACCACAAAAAACACAAGGATCACAGATAAATATATATAATGTACAAAAACTAAATCATGAAAGAAGAAAGTCTGAAGATTGTTTAAAATGGAGGTGTATATTACATAGAAATGTAAAGAAAACTGTGAAGAACTAATTAAGAGGTGGGTGAAGAAATAAACACTTTCAGTAAAGTGTGATTTTAATAAACTTGATATGGCCTTAAGTTCCTCATTGTATTGTCAGTTTAGGACTTTTACACTACTGTATTAAGGTACGTGTGCTGCATATAAATGGCATTTCATACATACTTTTGACTGCCATAGTTCATTCTGATGAGTTCTGATATAAAATGTAAACTTTTCTGAGCAGTTACTGTGGGTAGGCAAAATATATATGTCTGAAATGCCATTTTTAAACACTCCTAATCTGAAATATTTAAAGGATAAAAAGCAAGTGAAGAGAGACATGTGAAATTAATATTGATTTTAATTACTTTTCTTAAGCCTAAAAAGCCTCATTGTTTTGCCAACTTAGGCATTTTATACCACTGCATTTGCTGGAAACCTTTAGTAATCCTAAATTCTTGTTTCTCTAAAAAAAAAGAAAATTTAGGGTTACATAAGTAACTGAATAAGAAGATAGTCAGCAACATTGGTTTCAAATCAAAGGTAGGCAGATATCAAATAATATTTTTTACACACCTCTGATTTCAAAGCCATATAAAAGACTTAAGAGGGATGGAAAGAAAAACCCATAATTTCCAATGTATGTAATTATTTATCTATTCTTCATTTATAAAAATCATACTTGTTTATTACAATCACACAAACTGCATCATATACAAAACACTTGATTAATGTGAGAAAGTAAGAGAACCATACCTTGTGATGTTTTCATCTGTTAATACTCTGGAAGGGCACATGTTGGATGGAGGCTCATGATGAAACTCACTGACTGATACATTTGCTGGAAAGAAAACCATTATACATGATAAATACAGGCAACTTTTACCATGGACGACAAAGCTTCACATAATAACAGATATATTAAAGTAATACTCTCATAATATAAGAAGACTGCTAAGAAATCATATATATATGTAACTACATCACCTAATTTCAGGACATATTAATATGATGCCCTTTTGGTATCAGATTATTGCCAAATCACAAACACAGTGACTATATCCAAATATGTCAAACGTATTAGTGTAATATACTTCTGATGCTAAATAACTCCCTAGAGCATCAACCACATATAACGATGATTTATATCAAAACACTGGGATGTGAAACTCTTCGCAATAGTTTCCACATGAAAAAAAAAATCTTTAAAAAATTACCAAAATTATACTTATGTAATATCTTTCTCATATCACATGCCTATTGATACAAATATGGCTATACATTATTACATGGAATTAATGGCAACACGAATAAGAATAAAAAAAAAATTTAACATCTGGCAAAAGTAAATAATAAAATATGATCATTAGATCATTTAAAATTCAGCAATTCTTACTTACAAGAAGGTGGTGTAACTGTATGTGGAGCATAGTCCTGAAGAGATTCAGAAGCTACAGCTGGTGAGGTGTGATTGATATAAGCTGGTGGTCTTGACTTAGCTACTGTTAAAATGACTCTGTCTGATGTGGCCTTTAGAGTAGCAACAGCTTCTTCATGAGTGACATTTTCCAGGTTCTTTTCCCCAACCTTTCAAAACAAAGAGAAAATGCTACAATCAACTTGTGGTTTAAAATAATGACATTAATAACTGAACATGTAAAGAGCATGAAAACAACCATGAGCCTTCCAGAAATATCAGTAAGTTTACTAAACATTTCACTTTATATCTTCTTTGGAAGAATCCTATGTATATTTTCAAACTGAGAGTTAAACCACTCTGAACATAGACCAAGTGATCTATATAACTTTCCAGCTTTGTTAAACCAGTCTAAGCCTAGTAATGTCACTTAAGCTTGTATTAAGTGCTTCTGAAAAAGCCGTAAAGCAAAGAACGAATTTAATATGTTCTTCTGATGACTCGGAAAAACTTTCTCTCTGTTTATTATGAAATAAATAATTCGTTTAGCAGTACATGCAATAAACAAAAATTAAACTTGCAAAATATTACCTACTTTCAAAGAACTGAAAAAAAATTACTTGTATAGAAATGTCTACTGTCCATAGAACAGTAACTGAAAATACAGAAAGTACACACTTAACTAACATATTTGTAAAATGCAGCAACAAAATTAATCAAAAAGCTTATTCTAAAATATTTCAATACACTTTTTGAAATATATAATGTAACCAATGTCTAAGAAGCTAAACTATTTTAACTCCACTAAATTTACAAAAAAATATTTGTGTAGAATTTCAAAATACTCATTTTTGCACTATTTGAGGATCTGAAATTTAGTGTTAAACACATTACCATCCCAAGAAAATTAATTGATATTTGTAAAACATCAATAGTGTGTGTTGTGTGTGTATATATATTATCCAACACAAAGTCAAATAATATTGTTTTTAGATAACAGATAATAACCTCCATTAACCATCATAAACATTCATGGTAATAACACAACAGGTACTAATAATGACCAACTTACAGCAACTAGTTTGTCCCCTACTTCAAGAATTCCTTGAGAGAAGGCTGTGCCTCCTTCCATGATTTTGGTGATGAAAATACCATTGTCTCCTGGTATGTGCTCATTTCCTATTCCTCCTGCAATACTAAATCCTAGACCCCTGGTCCCTTTCAGGAGTTCCACTTCAATAATGTGATTGTGTTGTTCTTGTCTTCGCTTCACAAACTTGGAAAAACACATACAATGTAAAAACAAAAATTAACAAATAAATACACTTTCCTGAGCATACTCAATCTACAAAAAAATGATCAGACAAGTGGTTTACCCCAAGTACTGTATAATAAGAAATATGAAGTTTACATGATATTTGTGTTGGCTTCTCTATAGGTCAGGACTTCAGTCTAATTATGTTAGCCTTACCATGATGTTCAAACAAAGCTAAAAATCAATAAAAAATGAAACTTTTGATAGATTTCATTTTGATCTGATTTTTTTAAAGGAATGACAAAATGATGAAACATGTTTTAAGGCCAGTGTCATTAACTATTCAAATATATTATTTATAACAAAACATTATAAGGGCATAATAAAGCTCATCAATAAATTTAAGTAATTAAAAACCTAACTGCATTTCATGCTGTGAAATGTTGTTAATCAACTTAGAAGAAGAGTAGCTGATGAGATGTTGCTAGAAAATATAACATTTGTGAACAACTTCCAACACAATTAGAATCCTGATATTTTTTTGCTTGTTTTATCATTTTATACACCTTTTAAATTATGATGTTGCAGTCTGATATGAAATGCTTTTCATGGAAAAAGATAAGATGGAATATTGTAAGGCTTAGTTAGATTATTTTCAACTTGACATATCAAGTTTCATTTTACCCATAAAGTTGTTGTTTTTCATTGTTACATTAGAGCTCTAGCAGGCAAAGAAAATTACCCAAAACATATGTTAAAATACGTATATCATTTAATATAAATTTGGTTTAAAATTTATTATATGTAGTTATTTTTAACGTATGCCGACAATCATAATCACATGGAACTGTTTGTTGTTTTTCAAACCAAAATAAAGATCAAATTTACAGTTATGTAAAATAAAAACGTTACTAGAAACTTTTACAAGAATGTAGGAAGACATGAAAAAAAAAAACAATTGAGATTACAACAAAGGTAGACATTTTAGTTGTTTTTTTTATAAAAAAAACACATCACAGTAAAATTTTCAAAGTTGTAAATTCATACACATGTAAAAATAAGATATTATATTTTGCAGAGGCAACATGATCTGTATAAAATCCATCTCAAGTTTCTAACAATTTCTTACAATGGTTTTATTTTCCCTAATGTAATAAAAAAGATCATAACAGGTGCATTGATTCAACATACTCGGGCATTTAAGAGCTAGAGAGCTACCATGTGAGTTTGGAATTTTGTATCACCATAAAAAAAAGGTTTACCTGTTTCAAAAAAGTAATGAAATATTAATAAATAGAGAAATAATAGAGTTACTAGCTAAATACCAGTCTAACTGGATATAGCAGATGCAATGTGGTTGACATACTATATTTCTTCTGAGCTTTCACTCATCTGCTCTTAGAATTATTATAAATAAAAGTATTACTGTTCCACCATTCAAGTGTTATTTCAATGTTAGCTTTATTTAAAGGTAAATGTAAAAGGTTTGTGTGTCAGTTTTAATAATTCATAAAATGATTTTACAATAAATTAAACAATGGCTTAGCTTATTCTGAACAAGTTGCTATACTTAAAGAAAAACAACTAATAATTTAGAAGATCTAATTCAATTGACATGGAAAATGTACCTGTTCACTTTAATAAATGACAGAATACAAAGGAAACACTGCTCACCAATCTCACATAATTTCCTGCATGTTTCAGAGCTTCTACAGCAACAGAATGTGGAACATCAAGTAACTCTGTGTTATTTACTTTGAGTATAATATCATTTACTCTAGAAGAAATGAAAAAAGGTCATTAGTCTACATATTAACGTAATTTTACATAAACACATTTTTAAAAAAGTTTAAACACAACGTGAGACCAAATGATTGAATCTTTCAACAATTTTTTTTTTATAGTACTACATTTCGAGTTACAAAGAAAACAATAACAATTAGAATAGAGAAACTGTTCAAGCTTAAATACATTTTACAATATTAATAATTCACCTCAGTCTTCCATCAACTGCTGCTCCTCCACCAGGAATAAGTTTAGTGATGTAAATACCAGAATCACCTTCAATGTGAGGATTATCTGTGCCACCTGCTATACTAAAACCCAGTCCTGGATCTTTCTGTGAAAATCAACAGGACTTTTTACTTTTTGTGGTTATTTAGAAAAAAATAAATCTATCATCATGCTATACATATATATATATATATATATACAAAGACTTGTTTTCTTAGACAGTCAACTTATAGAAACAGGAAACTATAATCAGTATCATTAGAGTAATACAAGAAGTAGTATAGTAATGTTTACATCAAAATGCACAATGGTACTTTATTAAAAAAATATAGTTCAGTCTCCCCTAGAAAAATGAAAAGCTAGTACTTTTGGAAGGTATATGTTCTACAGCCTGTAGCACATACTTCACCAATGTAGCACACAAAAGTAAATATATTTCAAATGGGAAAGACTCACAAATTTTTCAAAACATTTTGAAAATTTATAATAGATAAAACTCAATAGCATATGCTATACACGTATTTAACTTTTCACCAGTTGCAGCGACAACAACAAAATGTAAGTTGTAAACAACAATTATCTACTGAATCTTCAACATTTTTCACCTGGCTTTACTATAATTAATTGACAATAAGCACTCAATAAACCTGCCTTATACCATAGGGGTGTGCTAGAAGTTAAAAACCCTTTGACAAATTACAAGTACCTTTGAGTTAACAATAATACCACAAAACATTATGCTATTATAATTCCTCTCGCAAATATGTTACACATATGATTTGACTATTCTGTCTTAAATATTACATATATATGTAAGCAAAAACACAAGAGTAAAGGTTAAGAGTAAAATCAATATCCTTAACACAACTATAATGTATTCAAACATACTGATTAGCCAGCAGTCCCATTTTCCAGTACATTTGAATGGGCATGTATTATACTGTTCTACATCATACTGACTAGGCAAACAACATACTGCTAAATCATGTACTGACCAGAATAAATCCTTTGTATTTTCATTTATGCTGGAGGGTCTAAATATACTTCAGAAGTCTGTTGCTAGTTGTTCACACTTAAATACTTTTAGCCAGTTCATTACACACAATATGGTGGTTAAACTAAAGGATTCCAATCACAGTATGTCTACTTTATACTATGAAGTACAAAACAGTTCTTACACAGATACGACTGTTATGTACATTTAAACTTAAATCAAACAATGAGTGCATGGGTGTGCAGCTTTATGTATACATGCAAGAAAGATGTACCATGAATAGAAACAAAATACCCTAAAAAAATAATGGCACAACCCATGCTTATCTATTGAGTATGCTTATAAGTCACATGTTAACTCATTGTTGCCATGAGAAACAGCTTAGCTAATTAAGAAAATTATCCTTTTTGGCTTTGTCTAAGCACATGTCACAGGGAGCAAGGGGGCCATTTGCCCACCCACATTTTGTTTTGATTGGTCAATGATATTATGATGGCACCACTGTCATGAGTGGCTAGTGCTCTGGGGTTCAACAGAAAATAAGACAAATCGTACCTCAAGCCATCTACTTTCACTGTTTTGCTCATCTTCTTAATTTGGTCATCGTAGGAAGTGTGAAATCTGTTACCCCTGTGACTGACTTTCTCTCAATGCTTCAGACTTACTACAACTTTTTAAGTGGATCTAATGATCATGCACTGTGAATTGCTTTCTAAAGACAAAAAGACATGCACCCACATGAAAAGTCTGTAGAAATTAATACAATGTCGGAAACATGATGGGCTTCCCAGGTGCGTGATGTAAATGCAATTGTTGCAAGGTTTGAATGTTTAAATAAATGTCTGTGGCATATTAACAAAAGTGACAGCAATCCATTTTGGTGCAACATGACCAGGCATTCATATACTGTATGCTGCAAAGTTCCAAGTTAGATTACTTGAAAGCAGCAGATCTCATTGAGAGTCTTCAAGCAGTGTTGCAAATCTACAGATGTGATGAGAAAGTTGCACATTACTATCAACGTTCTTGTGACATCGCTACCAAAAATGACCTGAACTGTTGCCATCAGAATCAGTTACAGAGCTCCACGCCCTCAAACATGGGCAATTTTGTAGTTCTAACCACACTGGTGAAAAAGGATGCCATATGAAATAAGCCATCCTGTTTCCAATCACTGATAATTTTCTTCAAGAACTAAACAAATGATTCAGTGGGGAAAATGTCCAAACTTTCTGCTCCCTGTCGGCAATTAACCCCAAATTTGAAAAATTCCTCTATTTTAAATGTACTAAACCTCTTACAGCCCATTATAGGCTCAATCTTGAAGACATACAAATAGAAATGAGGCAAGCTAAGAGAATGAATGAGCATTCAGGAGTTTGCAGAACATTTCAAACTTCTATCTAAGGCTTTCACTGAACTTTACAAGTTACATGTATAGCAATAACTCTCCCAGTTATCCCAGTTGACTGTGAAAAGAGCTTTAGCAAGCTAAAACTGATCAAAATCACCTTAGAGCCAATATGGCAGATAAGAGGAACAAGAGACTAACAAATTATTAGCGTGCACAGAGAACATGTTCTTTCCATAGATCTTAATGATGTTGACAGGTTTGTTACTAAGGTTATACTGTTAAGTCCTTTGGAACAATCTGCTATTCACTGGAGGAATGATACTATTATGGGATATGCCCAGTCCAGCCATAGCCCTATTAATCCTTTGATAAAGCAATAAGACAAGTTTGAAAACCTGAACATGCTGGGACACCCTCTTGTAATTATCAGAGGGTAAAGCACAAAAGGTGATGGAGTATGCCCACAGATAATGATGAAACCAATATATCCCAAGGCTTATAGTTTTACTATCTAGAACTCATATTGGTGTAGGACATAGCAAGTTAAGTCCAGTAAAAGTATAAGCTACAATGTGAAAACAACATGCATAAGGTTCATCACAATTAAAATAATATATATTACAAAGCATTCACAGAAATTGCATATATACACACACACAATAGAAAAAAAGCAAAACATAAGATAAATAAACTGAGAAAGGAGTGGCTTAGAAATCCATCACATAAAGGTAACTTAATACTTGAACATAAAGGAAAACAATAAAATGAAAAAAAATGTGACAGAAGAACTACTGAAATGAGAATGAGATATATACAGACAATTGGGTAGAGTTTTCTTCTAATTACAATAAGATCATTGTGCTATATTACTCTTCGAAATCTTCACTTACCCTTTCCAAAGAAATTTCTTCATACTCCCAATCTCCATAACCACTAGCCTAATAACAACAAAATAAGATTTTTACAGAACTAAACATTTAATGTGTATTCTTAAAAAGAGTCAAAATATAATGAAGAATTCGTAAATATGAAATTACATGTGAGAAACACACTTTTTAAGTAAAGAAAATTTTATTCCAGTGGTAAAAGTCATAGAAAGTATAATCTTTTCACAACATTATCAAAATCCATCTTTAAAAGAGAAATACACAAAACATAGTTTGTTCCTGAAAAATAATGCATTTTTTTCTCTGTCTTTGAACTTAAAAAGTTCAATGACATCAAATATTACTTTTCCTTCTTCCTGTCTGGTCTGAATTATGAAATCTAATTTTAAAAACTGATCTTTTAATGACAAAAGAAGCACCCAAGTCTATTAGTTTACAAAGTTTTGTATCATATAACAAATTATTTGCGTGTTTCTGTGTTGTCTTCTTATTTTTACATAATTAGAACTTAAGGACTTAGCCTTCAAAGCTCAAACTTCTATCCATTTTCTTTACTACAGTAATACAATTTAATGAAACATTACATTAAATTGCATATGTAATGTTTCACAATCCTCTTAGATTTTAAGTTGAAAAAGTGTTAAAATAATCTCTCAGATCTACCTTTTTTTTTCTTTCTGGCATAGCTTACTGAATAACACTGTTTACAAGAAGAAAACACCTAACAACAATCAGATTTTTCCAACACACTTTTAGAGACTTAGTAACATTTTTCTTTATTTGCATTTAAAGTATTTATCATTACTAATTTTGTTAAGTTAGATAAAGAAACGGTGTAACATCACAAAACATGTGGAAACATAAATGAATATTTCTATGCAAAACTGAGATGGTATTAAATTTAAAACGTTAGAAAAGTTAACATTTTCCTTACCTGAAAATGTATTTCTGATAGATACTCAACTCTCACACAGAAAGTTATCTTCCCCATATGTTAGCCTTTGAGATTTGCATGCCACTATCCTTTAGGCAACTCCCACCTAGTTACATGAGTTTTCTCATGAATTGTGTTACTGCATAATGGCATTATTATGCAGCAAAAGGCAATAAAAGGGCAACACAACCTCCATGCACACTAACTCCTTCTATGGTTTTGCACTCGTGAATTTTCATTCTTGACACCAAAAATATGTCTAAAGTGCACCAAAAGATTGGAGGAGGATGGGAAGTGTGTGCAGATGTTTCTATTGGAAAAACATTTTCAGGTAAGGAAAATGTTAACTTCCAAGACAATACACACCTCTGCAGACAGAAAGCTAGAATCCCATATTAATAAGGTTAAGGGACTGGTGAAAAATTTACCTTTACGAGCTGCCTTCAGAAAGCACCCAAAGCAAACCTATGGAGTAAGACACTCGATAGAAGAGGCTCCATAAGGACACACCTGTGGGAAACTGCATCACATCTCTTCCAAGATACACTCTTCACCCAGAATAGAAAGGAGGAAGAGACAAACAAGCCCCATGTGTCGCAGGTATGAGTGGAATAAGAATATGGCTGTCTGAGTACTTGCACATAATAGGTCAGAAAGCCAATATGTGTAGTGTGGTCAGGAAACGTCAAGACCATACCTAGCACACACCTCAATGTTATAATCAGAAATTATTGGACCAACACCATCTGTGGGAGAAGGGCACAGAAATTATTATTTCTTGCTCACCTCAAGGCACAAAATTCATGACACAGTGTGTGTAACTTTCGTGCATGCTCTCCTCAACTCTACCTTCAGACTCTTGGACCAACACCAGCTGCAAAAGGAGGGCAAAGTATTCATGCCATAGTGTGTGTAATGTTGGTTAGACACTTGCACCAACACCAACTGTGGGAGGGGGAAACAGAAATTATGTGATATAGTGTGTAATGTTGTGTATACTCACCATGACTTGAATGAACATATGTCAGTTGCAGTAGGAGGGCATGATATGTTTGTGAGTGCTCGTCTCAAATCTACCATCAGACTCCTGGACCAGCACCAGCTGTGGGAGGAGGGCACAAAATTTATGTCATAAACTACATAATAGAAAGAGTGCACACCTCGATTGGACAGTCATCTGCTGCAGAAGGAGAGCATAATTTGTTTGTACATGCTCACCACAACAGGAAATGACTGCAGGAGGAGGGCACATGTGTATAGTGTGCTCGCCTCAACTCTACTGAACAGACACAACTGCAAGAGAAGGGCACGGTATAGTAGTGCTTGCTAACCTCAAATTACTGAACAGATGCAGACAGCATGAGAAAGGTACAGTATTGTATAATGTCTTTCAGGCATGTTGTAGGTATAATTATATGAGGGGTGATCTGTGCTACATTGACAGTGTCATCACTGTCCCGCTTCCCACTGATTGGCACCTTTTATTCTAGCCCCATTGGTTAGGTCCCAATCATTGATGGTTCTCCCTGGTCCATCACCCCAGTGGCTAGGAACTGGTAAGTAGCAAGGGTCTCCTTCGCTCCACTCAAAGATAAAGGGAGAGGAATTTCTGATGGGGGAGACCCAGAGAAAATGCTCGGATCCCCTACTAAACTGGTTAGTTAGATATCAGAATATACCATGAGGATACCTCACATGGTTTTACAAAACACCCTATCTGAACAGTGAGCATATATGGAAATAGTATGAACATTTTCTGTTATCCTGGCTTGATGCAGAATTTGAGAAAACGAGTGTACCTTGGGAAGAACCTTCAGCCACCTGGTGGGATCCTGTAAGCAAATGCTATAGTCAGAAGGGAATGTACTCATCTGTCTAGAGATGGTGGATAGACTGTAGGATGGTGAACAAAGGAGGCAGTAAACTTCAAGAAACGAGATAACCAGATGGTGAAGAGAGAGAGGGTGATGAAGTTAAGCGAGGTAGTCCACATGCTAGATTGAAAGATCTCGTCCAGCAGCTGTCAGAAACAAGTAGCAAGGGAATAAGAGAGGTGACGAATTTGATAGGAGGAAATGCAGACTGTCTGTGAGAAACAATACCCTATGAGGAGTAGATCAAACATAGTAATTGGTGGGCCCTACTGACAAGGGTAGAAGTTAGATTTGTCCATGAAGGAAAAGGGATCCCAGAGGAAGTACAGTTGAAGATGGAAACCCTAAAAGTGAGAGGTATAAGCTAAGTAGAAACAAATGGCATACACAGGGCACAAAAGTTTGTCCAGGTCTGAATGCTCATAGAAAAGTGAAATAGAAGGAAGGGAGTGGTGTCCTCCCTGATCAACTGAAGGCTTAGGGAAGAAAAACCAGTCCAGAGAAATAAGAATATGAGAAAAATGGAAAGTGGTATGGGATGAGTCAATAGCATAAAGATCTCAATGACAGCAACCACAGGTAAGAGAAAGTGGTAGAAGTTGAAGGTTGCCAATGGCTCAAAGGAGCTTGGGTAAGAGCTTGCAAGATGACACTGAGGTCCCAGTCAGACATGGGAACAAAGTTGTGTGTGTCTGTAAATAAGGAAGGACCAGAACAAGGTAGAGAGAACTGGAGAGGAAACACCTTGCAGTATCGAGAAAGACAAAATGTTCAAGACAAGGCTGCCCAATAACCAGCAATGATGGAGACAGCTTACCCCTATTAAACAGACAGGTAAAGGGAAGGGAGATATCCGATGGTAGGATGATCAGGAGGAAGGTTACAGCAAATGGAACAATGATGGAAGCCATGCCCCTTGCACAGGCAAATGGACCAGACAGAAGAACTCACAACAGGAAAGGAAAATATTACCAGATTATAAAGTCTGGTTCAATGGGCAATGGGCCAGACAAATCCAAATGTGAAGGTGGAAGGACAAAATTCCTTGACAGAAAGGAGATGAAAGATGTTGAAGCAATAGACTGTATATCTGGCGGGCAAAGAGAGAGTTGGGTTATAAAGTGGCATAGAAAAGGAAACCAAGGTTAAGCCAGCTAGAGGGGAACCACCAAGAAGACACAACAAGGAGAGTCTCAAGTCAAGGCTAGAACCTGAGGTAAAAAATGTAAAGGTGGGTGAGCATTATGACAAGTATAAGACCAGATCTGGTAGAAGGCAGCAACAGTCAGGGACGAGGGATGTAGAACAGATGATCAGAAGAGAGGAAACATGAAATTGAGAGCGTTGGCAAGGTAAAGATGAGTGGAGTTCCTATGAGAGCACCTCCAATGAAAAAACTGGGGAATAAAAGATCATTCTGCAGGCAGAACACAGTCTGACCAAAAAAATTACAATTCATGAGTGCAAAAGCATAGAGGGAGTTAGTGCACATGGAGGTTGTGTCATCCTCCTATTGGTAGAAGGCTTTAGCTGCATAAGAACGTCATTATGCAGTAGCACAATTCACAAGAAAACTCATGAGATTAAGTGGGAGTTGTCTAAAGGCTATGGCATGCAAATCTCTAACGCAGATGTACGGGGAAGATAGCTTTCTGTGTGAAGTGGTGTGTATCGTCTCGGAAGAATAAAATAATGAAAAAATATATATAAATCTTTTACCAACTTTCCAGTTCTAGAATTTCTAACAATCTAATAACACATTGCACCAATAAATATTCTGGTAAAAAAAAACTACTTACCTCTCTATCATTGCCTCCAACTAAGAGTGGGGTGTGAGCCTATTACAAAAAGGAAAAATAAAACTTTAGTATTCAGTGTCAACATTTACAAATATAAATTTTGTAGTCAACAAATAATTTTAAGTGAATATGTATTAGGTTTAATTAAAACTACTTTTGTTTTATTCACCTATCCTCTTAACTGGCAGTTAAAACAACTGGCTCAATATTTCTGTAATTCTAACAATTACAAATGTTTCATAAAAGACTTTGGTAGTGCAAAGAATTACATGATAGAGTTCAAAACTTTTTGGACTAGTTCTGCCTTAATTCTAGTAGTAGTGAATGACAAAAATAAAGCCTAATATATTATCCAATATAAAAACCAAAACCTGTCAGTTTAAAACAATTAACGGATTAAGGCCTTATCAACATATGTGGTTGTATAGATATGTTATTTTTTCCTAATGGTCACTCTTAAATGTGACTGACTAAAAAATTAGTATATTTGTGCTTCTTGAACTGAAAACAAATACAAATGCTAAACAAATAACAACTTGGTCAAAGTAATTAATTAATACTAATTTTCTTAATTTTGTTATTCAATTTAACAATTACTGTTATACTTTTATTACCTTATGTATTTAACTATTTGTTTGAAATTAAAACATTTTATGATGTTAAGTCAATTGTCGAGAAAAGCCTGAGTTTCTGTGTAAAAGCCAAACTGATTAATTAGTTTCCAGATTAAAATAAACAGTTAGATACAAGTGTACCAAATGTGTATATATTTTTGTTTGCACAAAATCAATAAAGGTAAAAATAGTAACATTTATAGTAGAGCAAAATTTTGTAGACAGATCCATTATTAATCTGTAAATTACCATTCAGTTAGTAACATAGTTACTGATTATGACAACTGGACAAAGCTCATTAATAAGTATTACACTGATCCATCACAATTATGTTAGCCCTGTTAAGTATTTCCAAAAGAGTTTAAGTAGAAACAACTAAGTTGCTCAGAATGAACTTTAATTTTCCACTCCCATATCCTTTTGAGTAAATCACTGCTTATGAAAAGGTTAAAACATAACCTTGAAACCTGAAATGTACAGGTTTTGGTAATAAGTACAGCAATGAACAGCCACTACGTTAAAGTAACTTACTTAACCAGCAGTCATCTCTAAACTCATTTTTATCAGTAAAAATCCTACGAGATGAGAGATGATGTTGAAATATAAAACCTGTAGAATGACATCGACTTCCAAGGCTCTCTTCTGAAATTATATGTGCTTATTTGTATTGTAATTCTTCACTATGCTGAGTTCAAATATAAAAAAAGTACTGATTTTCAAAATATATTTAATCAGTACAACTAGTACAGAATAATTGTTGAATTCTGTGCAAAAATAGCAAAGGACAATCTGCACTAACCATTCCTAATTTTGAAGTGATAGAATGGAAGGAAGGTAGCTAGTCAACACCACCCACTGCCAACTTGTTGGTTAAACTAATCGGTTAATCGGACTTGCCTGTACTTTTTATAATGCACTATGGCCTCAAGATTTGCAGAGCAAATTTTTTTCCAGCAGTAACATGGGGGGCAACCTGAATAATCATGGTAGTTTGATGTGATGTCTTTAAATCTTTTAGCATACAATGTAACTACTAGTTACATCAAGAAGTCAAACAATCAAACAAGATAGGTGTATTAATAATTTAAACTAATTCTATAAATATTTACATATCACATTTTAAGTATCACAAGTTCTCAGAAATTGTTAAAATTAAAAATTAGATATATATGTATGTAAAACACAAAAAGTCCGTGTGTCTGTCTGTTAATTAACTACTCCTAGGCTGCTGGGCCAGTCTCAACCAAACTTTGTGGGATGATAGTTTTGGAACAAGGGGCATGTTAATGGTGAGATCACAACCCCTCCTCCCCCATTATTGATGTTATTGATTAGTTATTAACTCTGACATAAGTTAACGTTAACTACATTCACAAATGGTGCCACATCCTTGCACACACACACACAAAAAAAATTATTAAAATCTTCTATAACACAAAATACACACAGTGTGAGGGGAGGGCATACAAACGTCTTATACATCTCTGAGAGTGCAATGAAAAAATTGATCTCCACTATTTCAATAATACATAAACTCAGCTGAAGTTTCTACTTCAACAGCCACCATAAGGCTGATATGAAGAGTTTCTTGAGTTATATCAACTTCTTACTTTGACTCGTAACCTTTCAACTTTGGCCTGTAAGACACTTCTGTGACCAATGAGTGTCAGTTAATCATGTGAAACACTATGGAAAAACATTAAGAGTTGGGTGTTGAAAGCAGGTAACCGCCACTACTACTTCTTTCAAAAGTCACCCTGACCATCATACAGTGTTCATTATGTTTTAGGTATATACATATTGACTTCTTAAAGCTTATGCCAAACTTTTGATGTGGTAATAATGAATACTGTATCATATCGACTTGTCAGTTATTATGGTTTTAAAATCTAACAGAGGGTTTGTTAGACAACCAGGTGTGCTCAGAAACTTCTGTTTCTCTTCACCTCCATGAATACTGTAATAATATATTTTAAATAAATTGTGTGAACGTTAGAATTTTTGTTATATTTATCATAGCATCCATCACCACATTTTTATAAGTTCATAGCCCAGACAAAGGAGGGGTACCTCAACTTGTATTGCATAAACCCACAATCTGTATTGTTTTATTTGTTTACGTAGTATTTGATCAGATAAATCATGATTAAAAATATTTTGTTAAAGTACAAGGAATGAACTCTAACTCCAGGAAATGTATACATTACTTTTTACTGGTTTATCAGAGCATTTAACATGTAAATAACTGATAAATCAGGTGATGTAACATACAAAATAACTTGATCAGTTTTCAGCTACAGAATGCTCGTGCACAAGATTTATATGCCAATTTCCATCTGAATTTCATAACTGGCTTGTTTCAAATTTTGCATATAAATTTACAATTTGGATTGCTTAATTAAAACACCATTAAAAAACAAAAAGAATATATAAAAATAAAATCGAAATTACAAAGAAATTAAACACAAAAAAATATAAATCTAAAAATCTTAAACCCACAGTTACTATTCACTAAGATATTTGATTATAGCCATGTGTAAGAAATGATTTGATCACAGAAAGAGCTTACAAATACACAAAATTATCTGTAAATATATCAATATATGTATAAAAGCCAAGTGTCAGTTGTTCACAATCAATTTCTCCGAATTTCGTGAGTTACACTAATCCAATTCCACTTTTTTTTCTCCTATAATACTTTCCCTTTTGATTGCCAGTTCCCATTTTAGTTAAGTTTAATCGCTAACATAGGCATAAAGAGCTCCTAAATTTTGGCACTTTTTTCCGCTATATAAAAGCCTGTCAAGGCAAGAGTTCCCAGGAACAGATCAGGCTTGGCGTTATGTGTGTGACACCACATCATTATGACGTCAAGCTAGGTTTGATCTGAATAGAAAAGCCGGGAAGACTCCTATGAAAAATAAGTCAAACATTTGCGCAAATCTATGCTTGGGAATTATTACGAAAAACAGATTGAAGATACCAATTATCTGTAGGGAAGAAGACGACTTTTCCTCAGAAGAAGATGAACAGGTGTGTATACAATCACATGGTCATCGTATGTTTTAATCTTTTATCCAAATGTACCAATATGTAGCATGTTTGCTCAATTATACATAGTAGATTCAGGAGTAACATGTAGTATGTTCCAGGGAAAGGAACTTTTATATTTCTTTTATTTATTTATTTTGTTTATTGCCAGTTTTATACAGAATAGTTTTCGTTTCCAATTATTTCCCGTCATTTTTCAAAGGCTTTTACGCCAGTATATATATATATAAAATATGCATATTATCGTAATATTCTTTACCGATACACTACGTAAAAAAAGTGGTATCGCACAGGGAAAATGTTTTTTAAATGTATAACTTTTAAACACCAAAATGATTTTACCAAAAAATCTCAATTTAGTGTTTTATGTTTATTAATCGCCATTTTATATGCATGTATTCTAATTTAAATGCTTTACGCGCGAAGTTTTGACGGCCTTTACATATTTTACCACGAAGGAGCTTTCATATATATAGAGAAAAATTTAAAAATAGATTTTAGCAGCTCGAGTTTATCCTACAGCAACAATTACAAGATCTGTAAAGTTTTCAAGTGAATGATAACAGTCCGTGACACTCAACCAAACGTAACATAGTTTTCATCATGAAAGCTTTGTAGTCTCGTCTTTCAGTACAAAACACTAGAAAGGCACGTCTCTCTCTATATATATACTGATAATCTGAATGGGTTAAAATTTAATTTAGTAATTATTAAGTCTCTGACAGCCGTTACGAAAATGTTTTGTTCAATAATCTTTCTAATCATTTCTCTATTGAAAGGAATTATCTGCATTTCGCTTATACAATAGGTGAAAAAAGTGATATTAATATTTCTTTGATGCAGTCGCTAATACGTTAGTATCACCAGTGTTATCTGTGATAATATTAATAAGAACTCTTAAACGAAAGTGAAGAAGAGTACATAATAATACGTCAACCACATTATATATGCTATTTTCAATAATGACAAGACCTGTCACCCAATACTATGGTTCTTCAGAACAGCTGGAGAAATCAGCGTCAGAATCCAGACACAGTGACTTCAAATTGTGGCAATCAAGCGACAAGCATTGTTTCATTTAATTTGCAATGACTTTTAACTTGTCAGCTTGAAACTTCCCCCCCCCCCCCAATTCCTTTGTGTTTGACTGCTGTTTCGGGTCAGTGGAATCTAAAACTGGTACAACTGCTAAAAATATTGGTCGGCACTGATGAAAAAAATACAAGAAACAGCATATACTACCCACTTTAAGGATGTATATGTGCAGCAAGTTGCTTCTGTCATCCTTGTGAACCTCGAAAAATCCTACTGTGATTACCGAAGTTTAATAAAATCATATTTCTTTTTCTACTTTTTCTGCATTGTAGCAAGAAACTTTTGAAAAGACTTTAGTATTGGCCTGGAGCTACTATAAGCTTTGAAATACACTATCCGTGAAACCGTTACGGTAAGTCCTTAAACCCCGTGGTTCATGATGTGATTTACATGTTACAAGAAATGACTGGAAATCCGAAGTAGCTTTTCCGCTTGAAAAGCTAGATCACTAAAGCCAACTACAATCAGCATTTTGTTGCTTACAGGGGTACCTCGTTACTCTAAAGAGACATAGAAATCCCCGAAAATATCGATCTGGCTGTTTGCCTTTCTGTTGGAAGATAAAAGGCAAGGCTTCAAGAACCTAACAACACACAGAATAAGTATGTTTACACAATATATGTAAACGACAAGTTGGAACATCAACAGCAGGAACTGCACAATGACTTGCAGTGGCATTGCGGTAGGGGGTGGAACGCCCCCCCCTCCTCTCCACACACACACAAAGAAATTGGCCGTTCGGTAAAATTCGGCCGACAAGATGTCAGTAAGTAAGTAACATTAGAGCCTTCGGGTGTTTACAAAATGCAACTAGAATCAAAAAACGAAATTTAAATTTTATGGAATATTCCGGAACGTGGTTTACCTGATGCAAAAACTCTTCCTCGGTAATAAGAAACTTCACATTGTTAACTACCGTACTTTGAAGTTTAAAGTTTTACATAAATGATACAACATATGCTATATTAAATGTAAAACCACTCGGTAACAAGTTTCGTAAAGAACTGTTATTCATTATTGCAATGTTTTTCATTTAACCCATAGCTCATATTTCATCGAGGTACTCTCTTATAATTTGCAGTTGAAGATTTTAAAAATCTGAATGAAATCAAGAAATAAGCTTTAACTTTTAACATTCGATAAAAACTAACTTTAGATTCTTTCATTAATATACCATTTTGAATTTTTTGTTTGTTATTCAGCTCACGACACTAATTATACCGAATTATTTTTCAGTACTAGTTCAGGTTTTCGAAAATTTAACAATAATAAAGAAATAAGCTTTAATTTTCACCCATTCGTGTGAAGTTGGTTACCGAATCGAATATAAAACCATTCGGCAAAAAGAAACTTCACAGTTCTTTATCATACGTAGCTAAGCCTTTCCCGACCTATTATATGTTTCTATTTTCTATTCAATTACCGACAAGACTTAAATGAATTAATATACAGACCTGTTAAGTCTTATGAATTTCACGGTCACTTCAGCTAATGGTGAAAGTGTCGTTTGAAAGAAGAAACTCTGAAAAAAAAATGGTGTCGATCGACTATGATCGACGACACACTGGACTACTTATTTATTATGGCTTGCGAGCACGGCATCGCTGTCATTATTAATCCAAGTAATATTTTAAATAGATGGTGCAAGCCATTTAGATCATATAGATTACTGAACGTAACAAAAAATACAAAATAAAAGTTAAAAATGTAAGTCACCCAAGATTATGTCGTGTGAACTGGATATCAACGCGTACATCACAGTTTATAGATGTACGTGTTTGTGATTACAATTTTCTTAGTTTTCCATTACATACTACAATTATTATTTTTATGAACAGCTTGTGAGTTACTACTAGACTTTTTTTTCTATCGTTTTTTTTGTTGTTGTCTTTTATAGACTAATATATATATATATATATATATTATTTTTCCCATTAGGTAAAATCTGTGCTCCGCACTCCCTCAAAAGTGAAATGGTCGCGATGCCACTTATGATTAGTGCCAAAAATCGGCGAGACCATACACTGAATCTTCATACAAGTACCAACATTTACTGGTCAACACATCGTACGGCACTTTATTTGTACATCAGCATGATGTTGTGCTGTGATGGAGGAGAAAGAACTACAATCCATCGTTTTTCATAAATTACTACCTCACCTGCACTGAAAATGAGGTCAAATAATGTAAATATTTTATTAAGTTCATATGAAACTAAGATTTGGCTAATATATTTTTAACTTACAGTTTATAATTTGGTTTTTAAATGATTTCATTAGAATTGTTTTCCCTACTTGTAAATTAAAACATTCCGAGTTAAATTTGTTTAAGTAATGAGATATTAGAGTCAAAAAGTTTTTGTAAAGTTAAAGAGATGTGTTGGATGTGCAAAACAAAAGAAATTGGGCAATTTTGAATTTGATTTCACATTAAGATCAGTCCCCTCCCGGTGCGTCAGACTTATAATGCCAAAATCCAAGGTATAATCCCCGCGGTGAACAGATTTCAAATAGTCTGCTGTGGAGCTTTGCGCTAAAACAAACAGACACTAAGAAAAAAGGCGTGATTTCAACACACATATACACACCCCTAGCTGTTGACAACATGAGACTTCACACCACTAAAGGTTTAAATGCAAAGTTCATACTTCTGCTATGTATGTAAAGGTGTGAATTTATAAACAGAATTGAGTAATGCAAAAGTGATATATGAAAATAAATATAAAACAAAAAACTTAACAAAATCACTTACATTAACATAATTATATGATTACTATGAAATTTTATGAACACAATTTTTTTGAAGGTAGTAACTCTTCAAAATGCATAGATTTACAATCAAGTTCACTTATATGAAAAATGGCTTCCAAAAATATTACTATTTAATATTTTATAATTCTATTTTGGATATTATTTGTTTGTTGAACTTAGCGGGAAGCTACTAAGGCTATCTACATTAGCCGTCCCTAACAATGTGAAGTTACAGACAAGAGGGAAAGCTGCTAGTCAACACCACCTACCCCAAACTCTTGGCTTACTCTTTACCTACGAATATGGGGATTGGCCATTATATTATAACGACCCCATAACTGAGATGAAGAGCATATTCCTCAACGGGTTTCGATTCTACAGCCCACAGAGCGCCCTACTATCAAGGCATGCCAGGCCCGAAGGTTGTGAATTCACACTTTCTTGTGTGTAGCTCCTGTATTATTACTTCATAAGGGTGAAATCACACGATTTTTTTTTCTTTATTAATTTTTTAAAGAGTGTAAAGCATGCTTTTCAAAGTTTTTGGATTTCTGTAGGACTCAAACGATTGCTTGCACTCTTACACAGAGGTTCGTGAATAATGGAATTGGACGATAAACAATATAAACTTATTTTATTTTGTATTTATGTGCATCATCATTTGCGAACCATTTTTACTTCAAAGATAATTCAAAATTATTGATATACCTTTAGATGTTACAGTGATAGTGCAAAAAAACTAAATATAACTTACAGAACATAAAAAGATTTATTTCTTTATAGCTGTTTTCAGGCTGTTACCTCACATTAAAATTTTTGTGGTTTCGCGAATTGTTGTCAGCCATGTTAAGGCTGCACATTTTTGTGCGGTACCTTTGTTCGACTTCATGCTTAATTGTACGTTTGTTGTTGGTTGTTCTTTTCCACGTGTCATTCTCCAGACGCTTCAGTGCGCTTTAAACCACATTTTTTTGTGCTTGCTCGTCAAGCTCACGAAATATTTCTAAGTAATTTATCTGCTGTCCAGTTGTTTCACATTAATTATCTTAAGTACAACCAACCTATTTATTTCCCTAGTTTAAACAACTAAACTTTCTGTAGTGTACACATATAACGCCCTGTTGCTTACAACATTTCATGAAATCGTTAATTATATTTTTTTTGTGTGTGTAAAGAAGGAAAAAAAAACATGCAAAAAAGGGCTAAGATAATACTCAGACAAGCTCTATATTATTAAGACAGCTTTAATGAAAAATTCTTACCTGATCACCATCTTGTGAAAGCCAACTATCGTTGCTCTAGGCAAAAAGAATAATAAAACAACTTAAGCATACTACTCTAAGTGTAACCTCCTTATCATTAGCAAATTGCAAAATGTATACAAACACTTTGTTAGTTGAAGCAGTAGTTCCACTGTGATTTAAAGAATTATAGATTTTATATCTGTAAACTTTCCTTCATAATAAAATACGTATTCGTGAAAAACTACGTCAATTCTTATTTCACAGACAACACCATATATGGGTGGTGGGCAACCTGTATCATTAACTTAGATGGACTGATAAAGAATTCTCAGCTGGTCATGATAGGGGTTTAGTTATATAACGTGGGCTTTTATGTTTTATTAACCCACCGAGAGCTGAAGGAAACCCGAGTGCTAATTTTAGTTGGAAAGATGAATGGCTAAAAACTGTCTTTCGGAATAGAAAAACATAAAGATGTATGAACATTTAAATACTATACCAGTATATTTTTCATGTCTAAAGCCATAAAGTGACTGTGTCACCGAACTAACTGTTGCCCGAAGTGAGCTTGTGTCCTAATATTGTAAACGATCTGATTTTTAAAACGAACTTCCGTTACACTGAAAGTTTTACTCTTTTACAGTTTATTTATTTGACCATTACTTTTATTGTTTTTCATGCTAAATCTCATGTTTACAGATTTTTCAAATATTTCTTCCATAGATTCTTACTTCTCATGAAACTGATCAATAAGATAAACTTAGCATTTGTTGTTTTTCAGAATCTATAATGCACACTGGAGAGGTTTAGATATTTTGATAATAAAGTTAGAAAACGAAAAACTAGGCCTAACATGAACTGAACGTATATACTATTACAGTCTTGTTTAATTATGCACAAAGCTAAACAAGGGCTATCTGTGCTCTGCCCACCACGGGTATCGAAACCCGGTTTCTAGCGTTGTAAGTCCACAGACATGCCGCTGTGCCACTGGTGGCCAAACTATGACAAAATTACTACTCTTACTTCCGTAGCGTTCAAAATAAACACCAACTTTTAATTAGCTCAGAGGATTTAAAAACTAGAGAGAAAAATCTCTCGTATCTAACACTAGTGAATTTTTGGAAATAAAGTGCGAGGATAGGTGGCACTTCCTAATACACTGGGAAATAATGTGCGAGGATAGGTGGTACTTCCTAAAACACTGGGAAATAATGTGCGAGTATAGTTGGCACATGCTAAAACACTGGAAATAAAGTGCGAGGATAGGTGGTACTTCCTAAAACACTGGGAAATAATGTGCGAGGATAGGTGGCACTTCCTAAAACACTGTGAAATAAAATGCGAGGATAGTTGGCACATGCTAAAACACTGTGAAATAAAGTGCTAGGATAAGTGGCACTTTCTAAAACACTGTGTGAATTCTTTCAATATTTTCGTCTCTAGCTATTTTGAGTTTGTTGTACAAATGGGTTCGTTTATGGAAAAACGCCGAATGGACTAGCTGAATTACATCATCAGGGATATTGAAACATATTTTATGTGGTACGCCATTTTAACTTGAATTCTATGTGAATGAGCACAGTGTTTGCCCAGAAGTCATACTCTATTATTTTAAACTTTTTTGTATTGAAGTTACCCATCCGATTTAATCACAATACTAATCCACTGATCGTTCTCTTTAAAGGTTACTTTATACACAAAAAAATATAATGATAATTTTCATCATATATACTGGTGATGTAAACCGTGGAAATTAAAAGTTTACTTGTAGTGAACTGAAACTCGAAAGAAGAATTAAGAAAAGTTCTGAACTGAGAGAATGTACGTGACATAACCACGTGGTTGTGGTGTAAAAAAAACGTCAGACAAAATTTATTTGACTTCCCTTATTAGTAATAAATAAAACCAAAAATAAATGTTAAACACAAAATCTAAGAAAAAAGATTAAACAATTCAGACACTGCACCAATTTTGATGCAAAAGTGGCTTTTCAATTTTAAAATCATAATTATCTTGTCTTTGTTTTACTTATTCGAAACATATACGCAGAATACATCACAATCACGTTCGCGTAGGTTCGTCATTGGCCTAAAGTGAAAAAAAAATTTGCTCTAACCACTCATCAAAATTGGTGCTAACATAGCTACACGAACACAAAATCACTGTAAACAAAATACAACCGTTGTTTAACGCTTGTAGGGAGTAAACAGCTAAGAAAGTACAAGGATCATAATAAAACGTTTGTATGTAGTTAAGCACAAAGCTACACAACGAGCTATCTGTGCACTGCCTACCACGGGTATCGAAACCCGGTTTCTAGCGTTGTAAGTCCGCTAATAAAAACGACTTTCGTCCACTGCTATCACATTATACAACAAGCAAAAAAAGCAGATATTCTAATTTCTGAAAGAAAATCATATTTTAAGGAACTGAAAGTGAAATTTCAGGCCTATTTTTAATCACTTATTCACGTTTGAATAAAATTTTAAAAAAACAACTTAAAGTATTCAGTAACAGATGATAACGTTTAGTGTAATTCGAAAAGTAATAGTGCCCTTACTATTTTTGTCTCAACAGAATATTAAACATTCATTTCATTTACTCTTTGTGTTTGAAATAGATATACACCTGTCTACACCGAGTGTGAGATACCCATGACGTATTTAACTTCATGATGCATGATCGAATAAAACGACTGAGTTTTTTGTTAATTAATATTTGATTACTATGACTAGTAGTAGATTAAAAACTTGGCATCATACGGTGCCGTCATGCAAGAACAGGTTAAAAATACATACTTCGCTAGTTTATTAAGATAATAGAACTTTCAACAAAGATATTTAAATAAGTAAATTGTTGGGAATAACCTTTGTTTAAATAATGGTAGTTCTTTAAGTATTTTATGTTGATTCATATAATATTAATATTATCAGAGTGTCATGATATAAAAGACTGTTTAGTTTAGATATTATTGATTAATTTATTTTTGTGGGTGAATATATTATTATTGTTTACTTTTTGTTATAATAAGAATTAAAATCAGAGATTGTAGGTTTTTTTTACTAATAATTCATTGATGTTGAGACTATCGAACATCACGTGCAATACATTGACGTCGAGAATATAGTAGGTGGGAAGACGATTAAGTGATAAAGATATAATTAGTGTGAGACGAGCGGAAGTAGCAGACAAGATAATAGCAAAAAAAAAGATTTAAGTTACAGACCAAGGAAAAGTTTGGCGTGAAGTTAACTATCGTAGATGTGATAGGCCTAACGATTAACATAGGCCTAGAGTATAATATGTTAGAGTAAGACTAACAGTAGAAAAGAAAATAAGAACAATAATTTATTCCGTCAAAGCGTGATTCTAAAGCAATTGAATCAGCCTGAGTGCACTTTGGCAAAAGGAACAGAAGATCTTCAGAGGAAAGAAGACCAAACGATTACGGTAATTCACGCCACAACTGTAAGTGAATCACATATAGAATACTAGTTCGATAGTAATAGAGAAAATAGTTCGGCTTGTCAACTGCAATTCTAAAGTAAATGAATAGGCCTAAGTGAATTTATTCGTTCGTTTGTAGTTAAGCACAAAGCTACACAAAGGGCTATCTGTGCTCTGCCCACCACAGGTATTGAAACCCGGTTTCTAGCGTTGTAAGTCCGCAGACATACCACTGTGCCACTGGGGTGCGCCTATATGGAATTTTGACAAGAAGAAGAGAACTACATATATATTGTTTATGATATGCCTATAATCTCTATAGTGTGAAGAATTTGTTGAACATGTGTTTAACTTGTTCCGTGCTGTTTATTTATCGTTGAATGTATCGCTAACAAGTCACAGACACATACTGTACAAGAATCCTAAGCCCAACAACAATATAATATATAGTTACTCTATTAAAAAATATAAGTAAAGGCCTTTTTATTTTGACAATTGGCGAAAAGGAAGAATATTTTAAATTCTATCACCCAGACGTCCGACATATTTCAGATTTCACCGTTAATTCAATACACTACAATAATGGAAACTTGTTACCAAATAAAAGTAACGTTCTTCTAGCTGCAAATATATATATGTATACTTTACAATAAAAATACAAGATTTTAGGTAATTTTCTGTGATTGCTTTTTTGAATTGTTTTGGTTTTTAATGCAAAGCTACACAATGGCTATATAGTAGCTTTTATTGGTTCATAAGAAATCCATGGCAGTGATTTTTTTCGAGCTAGTTAAATTAATTTCCTATAATTATTCTTCATCCTTATTTCTATTTTATTCTTTATTTTCAACGAGATAATTTAAACTGAGATATTTTCAAACACTTTCTCCCGGGCAAAGCAAGCAAACAAAAGATTTCTGGTGGTAGCACCACTACAAACATGATGCGATGACACGTTTTATTTAGTTATTGAACTATTAAATTAAATGAACACCCAAGAGTACTGTCTATGACGCTTAGTTTAATTCTGACAATAAATTATTAGTTTTCATTTTGTTCACCGGTTAAAATATTGTTTTGAATTTTTGTTTGTTTATAATTAAGCACAAAGCGACACAATGTGCTATCTGTGCTCTGCCCACCACTGGTATCGAAACCCGGTTTCTAGCACTACAAATCCGCAGACGTGCCACTGGGGGGTTGTGCTGATGCGAGCGTTTCTTGATGACGCACGCGACCACAAAAAATCATCTTTTCTTCTTCATTTTTTTAAACCTAACCCACGATAAACAAGAGGTACATATGCATGATTCAGCTGCGACTAAGAAACTGTCCAATCCTCCTTCCTTCCGATTAAACAAACGAATTAATTACACATAGTGTTATATACTTACGATATAAGTATCATATGTTGTGAGCTAGTAACTCAGCCATAACTGCACACGTTGCCACTAGCAAGCATCAGTTAAATATACTTTCATTTAAATATAACAGTTCGCTGATCAAATTCAGATATAAACACAGAGCTTCTTCGTTTGTTTTGAATTTCGCGCAAAGCTACACGAAGGCTATCTGCGCTAGCCGTCCCTAATTTAGCAGTGTAA